CATGCTCTAAGGAACCCTAGGTAGACTGGCTACATAATTTGGGGCCCAACACAAAATTAAAATGCCGGCACCCTTGTTCAAATATTACTAAGAATTTTATGATGATGAGAACAGGGCATTAAACCAAGCATAGTCCCTTCTGAGTGCAGGGTCCTGTACCACTGCTCACCTCTCACCCCATGAAGCTGGCCCTGGCCCTAGGGGTTCCAATACGATTGCCAGATAAAAGAGAGGACACCCAATTTATATTTGGACACCCAAATATTGCATGGGACATACTTATACTGAAATAATATTCATGTTTACCTGAAATAAAAATGCAGCTAGGCATCCTATATTTCTTTCTTCTACATCTGGCAAGTCTAGATTCCTGAAGGGCATTTCACGGGTCACCTAGGGGTATGAGAATGAGGAAAAGACCAAGTGGATGGTCTTGATTTTTCACCATCATGCATTTTAACTCTCTACCTCTTTTAGATGCTGGACATCCCATCAAGGCAAGATTTCTTTGGGGAGAATCTTTAAAAATTCCCTGGCTAGAAGAAATAAGAGGTAGAGACGGAGGGGATGACAGAAGAAGAAGGGAGGGAAGAGGAGGGGAGGGGAACAGAGGAGAGGAGGAGAAGAGAGACGAGAGAAGGAACGGGGAGAGAAGAGAGGGAAGGGGAAAGGGAAGGGGAAGGACTACTTTAGCACAGAAACCAACATGTAAGCAGCTCTGAGTAATTACTGGGCCTTAAACATGGATTTGACTTGAACCTGGGAGGCGGAGGTTGCAGTGAGCTGACATTGCGCCACTGTACTCCAGCCTGGGCACAGAGCAAGACTCCATCTCAAGAGAAAAAAACAAAACAAAACAAAAAACACCAAACCAAACCAAAACAAAAAAACATGGATTTGAACTTCAAACCAGGAAGGATGGATGGATCGCAGTGATTTAGGCCCAGCAAAAAAACATGCACAATTCAATCGAACTTAAAAGTGGTTAGTTTTGATGTTGTTTTCAGTTCAATCTGGACCAAGTTTAACTTATCTTCTTAGTGTCTCTTTCCAGTTAGCTATAAAGTGGTTTCCCCTTTCTGGTTTGCCTCCTTCCTTCCAGCCACATTTATGGAGCACTTACTATGTACAAGGCACCTGCTGTTTATATTGAGTATAGGGAACACTAAAAGGATGAGTAAGATACAGCCGTCACCCGGGGTCTTCCAGTGCAGACGGAGAGATCAGCCTATGCACATACGACTATACTCAGAGGCATCTGTAAAGAACACGACAGGTACAGAAGCACAGCAAGTTCAAAGTGGATCCCTTTACTATGAGGACTGGGGAACGCTTTATGGAACAGGAGAGCTTTTGACCTGAGACTTAAAGAACGAATGAGCTTCATTCATGTGTTCATTCATTTATACAACACCTAATAGTAGCAACTACTCATTTTCTTTGAGCATCTATCTACTAAGGCTAAGCTCCGCTCCAAACTTAAGCTCTGTTCCAAACTCTTTAGATGGAATACCTAATTTAATCTTTATGACAACTTTGGGTAGTTCATAGAATCACTTACCCCGTTGTCCACATAAGACAACCAAGGCCTAGAGAGGTTCAGCCAGTTGCCAGGGTCACATAGCCAGGAAGTAGTGGGGCTGAGGACTTCAACACAGAGTCCATGCTTTCAGATGGAGTTTCATTCACTCTGTCATACAGGCTAGAGTGCAGTGGTGCGATCTCGGTTCACTGCAACCTCCGCCTCCCGGGTTCAAGCGATTCTCCTGCCTTAGTTTCCCGAGTAGCTGGGACTACAGGCACCCACCATCACACCTAATTTTTGTATTTTAGTAGAGATGGGGTTTCACCATGTTGGCCAGGCTGGTCTCGAACTCCTGACCTCAAGTGATCCACCCGCCTCAGCCTCCCAAAGTTCTGGGATTACAGGCGTAAGCCACTACACCCAGCCCAGAGTCCATGCTTTCAATAATTCCACACCTAAGCAGCACCTACTGTATGCCAGGCTCTGTTTAGTCACTGGGGATTCAAAGAAAATGCAGGAACCCCTGGTGTGCTGGGGGAGGGGCAAGAGCAGACAGACTGTCAGGATCATGTGACGAGAGGTGAACTCAAAGCTCAGTGGGCACAGAGAGGGACTGCGCACTCATGCTTGACATAAATTCTGAATCTGAGAAGGAATGGTAGCAGCAACAAAGGCTTTCAGGGCTGCGGGCAGAGCGCCTTTAGAGACACAGCAGCATGGAGAATCCTGGACGGCCAGGGTGTGTGGCAGGAAGGGACGGGGCAGGGCTAGACACCAGGCCTTGGCTGCTGTCTGAAGAGCTGTCTTTATCCAGGCGCTTTGGGGAACTGAGTGACAGTGTCAGCATCCGGAGCCCGGTGTGGAGACCCAGGAGGCTGCCAGATGAGCCACCTCTGCGATTTCCTGTTAGAATTTCTGAGCCAAAGCAGAGTCCACAGGCCCAACATGGTGGTTGTGGTGTGCCCCTGTTAGGAAGTTTGGGGTGGTTTGCTGTGCCACAGTAGACAGGAACCGGGAGCTCTTCCAGTCCCTTTCTCCCTTCTTGGTGTCTCTTCTTCCCTTCGCTTCCCATCCCACACATCTGCGCCACATTACATCAGTCCCCTGGACACATTTTGGCTCTCCTACCTGGAACTTGCCCAGGCTACTTCATGCCACAGTAGGGGCGTGAGCCCTGGTGTCTGGCAACCAAACCATCACCAAATGCAGAACCCACAGCTTATTCTAATAGCCACAACACAGCCTTAATTGAGCCCCTACTGTATGCTGAGTGCTCTACAGGAGTAACTGTAAGAGTCCTACAAGGTACAGGTGATGGTCCCGGTTTTACAAGTGAGGGCTGTAACTCTCAGAGGGGCTAAGCCCAGGATTTCACAGTCCCTCAATGTGGGTGAAACAAGAGCCTGGGCTATCTGGCCATGAGGCCGCCCTGGCCTAAGCGTGCATTCTTCCTCCAGAGCTCCCTCCTTTGCAGCCTGTTGTGTGCAAGGCTCTGTTGCTCACCCCATGCCATAGACGGGTTTTGTTAGACACACCCCTCACAACCCCCATGGCCATTTCACATTAAAAACAAATTATGTGCTTTCCTTCTGTTGAAAACTTAGAATTTCTGCACAGCCTGAATCAATGTTCCCCCAACGCAATGGTCAGTGGGAGCTGAGGAGAGGTTACAGTCCCCTTGGAAAGGGGCAAAGGCTCTCCATGTGCACCAGTCCCCATGGTGCTCTGAGTCCCTTGGGGCCTGCTGTAGTTATTAAGGTACCTGCCTGGCCTTGAAGGTGATTGATCTGCTGATCCCTGTTGTGGGCCTAGTCCAAGGGTCCCATGCACATGGTACAAAGAGCCTGGGAGTGTACCTCTGCCCCGCACCCCCTGTGCTCTTCCCATCACCATCTGTAGCCGGCCCAGTGGAGTCCAGCTCAGGAGCATACCATTCCTGCAGGCAGCCGCGGCCCTCACACCCCATACAGACTTCATTCTGGCCCGAACTTCTCACTAAAGAGGTAGAAAATGCCATTTTTCATACAGCTGGGCCACGGGCACTGCCCTGGCCAATGGGACCTATGAGGAATTCAGCTGAAGGTTTCTGGGGAAGGTTTTCCCTCGTGCTGTCTTCCCTAGAATTGTGGCAGCTGTTTTAAGACACTGATGAGACGACCCAGAAATCACTCCAGTGTCAGTGGAACTGGACGCTGGACAGAAGCAAGGGACTCAAGGGCAGACAGGCCCCAGCTGTGGGGTCACCAAGGAGCATGGCTGGTGTTCTTATGGTTTCAGCCACTTTAGATGGGTATTTATTACACGCAGGCAAACGTGTCTGACTGCTAACCCGAACTCCAGGAAGCAGATGTGCCCACCTTCCCTAGTGCAGGGCCAGCTGCTGTTCCCAAGTGTTTTCCCATCCCATTCTCACCTCCCCTGGCCTCCCTCTAACCCCCACTCATCCCCCTATCGCCCTCATTTCCAGCAAGCTTCCTCATAGTGCATGCGTGTGTCAGCCCCCTCCCGAAACCCAAGCCCTGGATGACAACAGCAAACCATCCAGTGTCGTTGGAATACATGTTACTTGTGGAATTTTTTTCAATTGAAAAGAGAAAGTAACTTGTCTTAAATCTGTGACAAAATGAAGAATGAAATGGCAATGGGCAGAATGTTAAAAAAGAAATCCTACTTAGTTTGTTACAACTTGAGTACCATGCAAACCCTTTCTGAAAGAAAAACAATTCTCCTTAACCCCCAATGTTGATTTAAGTTGTTTCAAATTATAACGTTACTCAAACATGTTCAAACATAAAACTAGATATAAACACCTTATGTTTATAGCTCTTGTTCAACTCTAAACTATGAAATTAAATACAAGCAAAACTACAAAACCAATAAGATTCAAATCAACAGCCCTAATCACATGTGACAGACAGTGTTTTGCAGCATGAACTTGTTTTTTTCAAGCCTGTGCCAGTTCCTTTGGGGGAGTTATGCCCACACCCCTGAGGACTGGGCAGAGAGATCCCTCTGCCATACTTCTCTGTGAACTGTAAAACTCCCTGCTATGGTTTGAATGTGTCTCCTCTAAAATTTAGGTATTGCCAATGTAATAGTATTAAAAGGTGGAGATATTCAGGGGTGATTAGGCCATGAGGGCTCCTCCCTTGTGGATGGGATTAGGTGCCTTTAGAAAAGGGCTTGATGGAGTGAGTTCACCCCTTTCTCCCCTTCTGCCTTCTGCCATGTGAGGACACAATATTCAAGGTGCCATATTGGAAGCAGAGAGTAGCTCTCACCAGACGCCAGCATCTTGATCTTGGACTCCCCAGCCTCCAGAACTGTGAGAAATAAATGTCTGTTCTTTGTCAATTACTTAGTGGTATTCTGTTACAAAAGAAGACATGGACTAAGATACCTCTTCAAGCAGCAAACACATCATACCAATCTTTGGCCTCCACTAAACACAGATGTTTTAAAATAGAATACCTACATCTGTTCTTTCCTCATTGGTTCCTGGTGATCAAGAAGGTGTTCTCTGGTGCTGATGGGCTTAGCAGTGCAAGACAAAGGCCAGAATCCCCACGGCAATCTCTGGTTATGTGGCTGTTATCCTGATGATCTGTGTGTACTGCTTGGACTGTATCTGTTTAGATGATCATCAAAATTAAGACACAAAATTAACACATTCTGTCAAGAACTCATAATCTCCAATTTGAAAAACTACATTAAAATCAAATTCTGGGGAGCAGAGAAGAAAAGACGAACAAAGGCCCCAGATCCAGAAGGCTCCCTTTTCTCCAGAATCTCACACATGGAGTCCCGATGAGGAAAAATGTAAATATTTAGATGCTGCTACATCTGGTTTCGAAAAACTTAGTGCCAGTTTTGTGTATGGGTCAATGGATTTGGAAAGAGAAAAACAGAACTTGTCTGTTCTAACTACCTTGGTCCTCTTTTCTAAAATCACTCCAAAGTTCTTCCACATCCCGAAAACACAGAATGCTCACATTTTGGGAATGCATTGTATCAATTCTGTCCCTCAGACTGATCTTCCAGCCCTCCTCTACACTTCATTTCCAATGCCGCCACCCTGGCCTGGGCACCACCATCCCCCTCCAGGCTGAGAACTTGGGCCCAGGCCCACGCTTGGCTGCCCCCCCACCCCCATCATCCCCCATGGCCTTGACGGCCTTCACCCGCCAGGCCTCTGCCTGCCTGTCTGGCCCCATTTCACACACCTCTATACCTCCCTTCTGCCATCATCAGAGGTAATTCTGGATGTAAGTCCCTGTCTGCAGGTTTCAGGGAAGGTCCATTGAACTGTTTGCTCTGATTCTGCTGGGTGAGGCCCTCAGCCCTCCACTTGCTCGCTCTCTCTCCAGGAGGCCCTCAGAAGAGGAAGGCAGGGGCTCTTCCAGGGAAGCAGAGCTGTTACCCACAGCCCTGTCACTCCTGCACTAGCCACTCCTACAGCCCCTGCTGCTGCCATTCAAGTCACAAGCCTTAAAATTGATGCTTCATGTCATGCAATTGGGTGGACCCAGCCCCCACCTCTGACGTTAGGGGTATCTGCACTTTCTTCACTGGCATCTCAACATCTTTACCTGCTGATCCGTGGGGCTCACCCTACAGCCAGAGGGCTAGGGCTTCAGTGAGAATGTTCTTTCAGGTCCACTATGTGGTTCCTTCCTGGAGGAAAGGAGTCCAAGTTCCTCAGCCCAAGGTTCAGTCCACACCCACCGCCTTACACAGGCCGGTCTCAGGGTCTCATTCTAACATGTGATGTCCTGCTTGTCTGGGGGAATAATCTGGAATACTTCCCAGTCGTGGGAGTAAAGAGGGTTGTTAGTTGGAGGATGGGGTGGGCTTGCGTGTATCATGAGTTGGTGTGTTCTCTTGAAAAGCCCTTCCTTTCTTTGTCACTCTTCATTCCTTTTCTTCCCTCCCCGACATTTTGTATCAAGGGGAGAGAATATTTTTTAATGGTTTTAAATATACTTGATCTCTAAAAATTAAAAGCCCTATTAAATAGTCTTAAATAAAAAGCAAAAATCTCCTATCCAATCTTTTACCTTTAATAACTCACTCCAGAAATAACCATTTTTAAGTAGTTTTTGTTCTCCTAGAAGGGGAAGCTTCCCCGTGTGAAGGTCAAATACATTCTCATGTCATGCTTTAGTTTGCTCGTAGTTGGAGCATGCTTTTCTTAAGTGATTTTGTTTTTCCTGAAGTCTTAATGGACTCTTCTTTCTCTTGTTTTAAGAAGAAACATGCCTTTTCTATCATACCACTAGAATCTTCCTGCTTCTTTTTGTTGAACAGAAATTGTTTCCTTCTTAAAGTCAGTCTTTTGACCCCTGACTTCCTGTTCAAATTTGGACTAATTGTTTTCTGGGCTTGTCACATCACTACCATCCAGGTATTTCTTCACACATACTCCACTTGGGTTAGCCCCACAAAGGATCCACGTCTTTTAAATTCTTCATTTCTTGAATGCTTTTCTGCAGTTCATCCACAAGTAACATTTTTCAGAAAATGCACAGCAAGTGAACTTATCGTGCATTTGAGTATCTGCCTTTATCTTGCCTCATACTTGATCAATAATTTGGCTAGCTGTGAAATTTTACATTCAAAGCAACCTTTTTCAGAACTTTAAAGGTATTATTCTATTTTATTCTAGACCTGTAGGCCCTTGCCACTCAGTGTGATCCAAAGGCCAGGAGCCATAATATCACCTAAGAGATTGCTGGAAATACAGAATCCCCCCACCCCAGAATCTGAAGTTGAACAAGATATCCAAGGATGTATGGGTACATTACAGTTGAGAAGCTGTTGCATCCTTCAGTGCTGCTTGAGAGGTCTGTGGTCAATCTGACTCTTAGGCCTTAGTAAATAATCCCACGTTTTTTCAGCTTGAGGGTTTTGAGGCCTTTCTTCGTCCTTGCTTGATGTTCTGAAATTCTCCAGGTTGTTTTCAGGCTCTAGTCTTTTCCAATGGGTCCTGCCAATCTCCAGACTTGTTTGCCTTTCTTCAGATCTTGAGAATTTTCTTCTATTTCTCCGATTTACCTGCCTTTCTATATTCTCCAATCCCTTTCTTGGAAATGTCATAGATTTTAGACTGATTATCCATCAAAAATGGATGGAATGGAAATTTCCCTTTAATCCTACTCCCCCTTTTTTGTCTTTCTGATCTTCATTCTGGGAAGTTTTCTCAAATTTGTTCTTTAGCCCTTATATTGGAGTTTTTTTTTTTTTTGTAAATGTATATATTTAAGTTTCCAATCACTTATGGATCTCTGAATGCTTGTATTTCATAGCAGGCTGTTCTTGCTCTATGGATGCAATGTGGCCACACATCCCTAGGGTTACTAATTAGTTTTTGTTTCTCTATTTTGCTTCCTCCAGTGCCTGTTGTTACGTTTGTCATCTTGCTCCTTCTTTTTCATGCTGTTGATTTTTCTTTAAAATTTTTTATATAATGCTATGAGATCACTGCTCATTTTTTAGGTATGATGATGGTTATCATGATTTTATAAGAAAAGATCCTTATTTTTAGAAAATGAACATTGAAGCTCTTAGGGATGAAGTGTTTTGATGTCTGCAACTTACTCTCAAATGATTTCATGCACACACACACGCACACAAACATATGCATAGAGGGTAAAAAAGAGAAATTTTAATATGGCAAAGTGTTAACATGTAATGAAGCCAGGTGGACGGTGTGCCCAGACATTTATTGTACTAGTCTTTCAACTTCTGTCTTGAAATTTGTTTGAAATTTTTGATTATAAAAGTTGAAAATGAAAACAAAACAAAAAAATTTGATGCTGCTTGATTGTTAATTCTCTGATTATCCTTAGGAAAATACCCTCGGGGGTCTGAAATTCCTAAGGAATCAGCTTTCTTAGAGTAAAACAGATATGTGCTTGGTCTCTTTTATTTTCCTCCTCAGTTCAAATTTGATAGAAACTACACTGGACTGATGCCCCACTGCTAGCACCCGGCACACATCAGCCGGCCTGCCCCACAGCATGGCTCAGGCATTCCTGCAGGGGAAGAACAGCTGGGTTCCCCAACCCCTGCAGGAAAGGTCTGTCCTACCCCAAACTACATCTCAGTTGAGTCTAGTGTTTTAAGCACGGAAAAAGTACAAAAGGAGTTTTGTTCTCTTGGCCACCCGCCACAGCCCGGTACCAAAACAACCCAATGCTCCCTTCTGATTGGAGAAACATTTTGTGCTCTTCTGGACATAGGGCTTGATGGTATTACTGCCAGGCCTCCCATCAGCTGGCACACATCTTGCCATGGGCAGTTCCAAGACAGAGGTCTCTGCAACAGAAGCCACGCAGACCAGTCAGGAAGAGGACACCCCTTCCTGGTCTTTAAGCAAGTTAATGGCAGGTCATTTGCATCTTTGCATATTTGCACGGTGACGTAATAAACAATATATGCAAAATCTCTAACTAACATTCTTTAGGGAATCTGCCATAATGGATTAGGAAGGGACCTGTCTTGGTGTATCTCTAATGAAGCAAAAGAAAGTTATAATGGGATTTCATGGGTGTGGGTAGTAATTGGATTTGGTGGAGGGTATAATTAAATTTCACCAAGGGGCTACAACCTCTGCCCTGGCAAATAATAAAAGGGTCAGAAAACTTTCCATCTTGCTTAAAGGGAAACATGTAAAGCCTGCAGAAATGCCACAGCACATCCCCTCAATCATGGCACAGCAACCTAGCACCTTCAGGATCTCAAAAGTTTTACCTTCCGGTAGAGAGCTGAAAGCACTGTAGGTAATATCAGAATATTGTGAAACTCACTGGCCAGTTTCTCCCCTATGTCTTCTGAAATTTCCATCTCTACTTCAATAAGGAGAATCAAAGCAGGATCCAGCCCAGAGAAGGGTGGCCTCCCCCAAATGGGGAGATTCCAACGTACAAGTGGAAGGCTGAGTGGACCAGTACAGGCAGCCAGCACCACCTCCCATCACTGTGGAGGCATCACCCCTGGATACTCAGCAGCAGAAAACTCTGGGTCCAACGCAGGGCAGTCACCTGGCAGGTTTCCTATGAGGCGGTGCTCACTGACGGCAAACAAGCAGGCTGACCCTCCCCAGCACTAAGCTATGTATTCAGGGATCTCGGTCTCTCACCCCAAGGGACCAAGCACTGCCTGGCCAGGCTGTTAAGTTTTCTTCCCAGAGAAGGTTTCTGGAGCTGTGGCAGATGCTATTACTGCAGTCAGGTGCTCTGCTGTGGGGAACTGGGTGTCCTGCTATTAAACAGGCCTTCATGGAAATGCATGACCCTCCGCCTGAATTCCTCTCCTGCTCTCAATCCTTGTGACCCATTGTCTCTCCAGGGTCATCCAGAAGAAACAACCCCCACCTCCAGTTGTGTCCACTCAGCTTGTGCCTTAGTCAGCTCAGGCTGCTATAACAAAATACCATAAACTGGGTGGCTTATAAACAACAGAAATTGATTTCTCACAGTTCTAGAGTCTGGGAAGTCCAAGATCAAGGTAGTGGTAGATTCAGTGTCTGCTGAGGGCTCACTTCCTTGTTCACAGATGGCACTTTCTTGCTGGGTCTGCATATGGTGTAAGAGGCAAGGAAGCTCTCTTTGACAAGGCGCTACACCC